TTTTCCATTCTTTTATTTTTAGTCTGTGTGTCTTTCAATCTGAGGTGAGTATCTTGGAGGCAGCATATATATGGGTCTTATTTCAGGTATCCCATATATTTTGGTTAGAGCATTTAGGCCATTACATTTAAGGTGATTATTGGTAGATATGCATGTAGTGCCATTTTATTATTAAATTATTTTCCTCTGTTTTTTTTAATTTCTCTTTTTCTTCTTCTTCTTAATGTAAGCCCTTTAACATTTGTTGCAGTACTGGTTTGGTGTTAATGAACTCTTTTAGCTTTTTCTAGTCTGGGAAGCTCCTTATTTCTCTGTTGATCTTAAATGATAACCTTGTGAATAAAGTACCCTTGTGTGTAGGTCCTTGCTTTTCATCACCTTGAATATTTCACTCCTCTTTCTTCTGGCCTGAAAGGTTTGGTTGAGAAATCAGTTGACACACTAATTGGTGCTCCCTTGTATGTAGCTACCTGCTTTTCTCTTGTGGCTTTTAGAATTCCTTCCTTGTCATTTTAATTATGATGTGTCTCCTTGTGTGCCTCTTTGTGTCCATGTTGTTTAGGATTCTCTGAGCTCGTATGTCTTTTTTCTTCATCAGAATAGGGAAGTTTTCAGTCATTATTTCTTCAAATAGGTTCTCAATCCTCTGCTTGCTCTCTTCTTCTTCTGGTATTCCCATGATGCGGGTGCTGTTATGCTTCATTTTGTCCAAAATGTTTCTTAAGCTTGAACTATTTACCATCCACTATTATGGAAAGCTTAAGGATTTGCTCTCTCAAGTCAGTTGACGGTTGGTAAACATAAATGGGCCTTTCGCATACTGTAAGACATCATGACTGAACATACACCGTATTCAACATACATTGAATACAGTGACCTCAGGTCAAAATGTTGGAATTACACATCAGTTTCTGGGCAGAATGCTGGAAGATTCCCGTGAGAAAAAGTCGATTTAAGGTCCAGCTTTGTAGTTCACCTGAAGCAAAAGGTTTTTTCCTCTTCCGGAGCATAACTGCTCCCATATGAGCTAAAAGGACCCAATAGATAAAGATCAGTAGTTGAGCAGTAGGATTTGATATTTGTTTTCACTGTGAACCAGGTAAACAGGTGTATGTAGGTAAAAAATATTTTGGAAATGGAGTTTCCCAAATCAGGTTTGTATATAAACTTTGAACCTGTCAGAAAGGGACAGGTTTATTAAATCTTGTTATCAAGGTCACTTTTCCCTTATTCCCTTTGAACTCTTTGGTCCTTTCTCTTTCTGCTTAGGAAGGTGTGGCATGATTCTGTGTTTTGAACCTGTGTGTCGCAGCTGTGAGATGTGCTCACACTGTACACACTGAGCTGAGTGCATGGAAACCGTTATGCTTCTCATGTCATGTGATCTCGGAATTGGTATGTAGCAAAAAAAAGTAATTTTCTAAAACTGTTTTATTGTTTGTTTTGTAATAAAACCATGTGAAATACTGGAAAAATGTTCTTAAGCTCTCCTCATTTTTCTTAATTCCTTTTTTCTTTTTGCTGCTGTGCCTGGATGTTTTTTTCTACTTTGTTTTCCAAATCAAATCACTGACTTGATCCTGTGCTTTATCTAGCCTACTGTTTATTCCTTCCAGGGTGGTATTTACTTCAGATACTGCATTCTTTAGTTCTGACTGGGCCTTTTTAATGGTTTCTTTGTCTTTTTTCATGTTGTTGAGTATCCTTGCAATCATCGCTCGAGACTCTCTATCTGATAAATTGCTTGCCTCCATTTTATCTAGCTCTTCTGGAGAATTTCCTTGTTCTTTCATTTTTGGACCTGTTTCTTTGTCTTCCCATTTTGGCTGTGTGTTTGTATGTGTCTCCATGTGTTAGGTAGTTCTGCAAAGATTATGGTGTAGTCCTTTGTCAGATGCTGCATGTGACTGGTCCTGGTCAATCAGCTTGGAGCTGTCGGTGATCCACAGTGTGTGGCTCCCTCTGCTGGGCTTGTTTATGTGTAGAACAAACCGAGCTGCACACCAAGACCTGCTGTTATTGGCACTGAGCCCTGGGGAGGGTCAGCTGAAGTCTCAGAGCTGCATGAGATCCACCATAGTTGTTAAACTAATCAATGATATAGCCTCAAGCTATAATCAGCAGCCCAGCTTAGGCTCCACAGGGTGGGGAACAGTAATTCCTGCCCATGGGGCTACTGCTTCCCCTCAGGCTGATGCCTCTTGGAGAGGAGTGATCTGCCTGAGAAGGGGGCCTTCTGTACTACAGGGAATGACTCAGCACAGGGATCCTGGTGGCTGTTCTTCGGTTCTCTCCCCAAGCCACCAACCCCAGATTCTCCTCAAGTGTCTCTAGTTCACTCTGCCCTCCCTCTGCCAGAGCCCCAGGTAAGTTGCTGCAAATGAAATTTTGTGCATTGGCCCTTTAAGAGGCTCTCTGAGTTTCCAATGATCCCTCCCTGACATATAGAAACCCCACTGCCTTCCACAGCTAGATGTTATCGGAGCTCCTTTCTGGCTCTGGCACCGTAGTCTGGGGAGCCCATCTTTGGGTTTAGAACCCACTCTTCTCAGGGGCAGCCACCTGGCCGCTGAACTGTCCCTCCAGAACTTCAGCTGCCACCCACGGGAGCCCAGCCAGCCCTCTTGTGCCTCCACCGCACTCCATACCAGTCTCGTTGTGGGTTCACCTGCCTTTTAAGTGAAACCATTAAATTCCATACAGTTGAGAATTTCAAAAGCAAAACCACAATTGAAAATATAAGAAAATAAAGGAGATATATATTTTTTAAACACTGGCTAAAATTTACATACATATATAACTGTACCATATTTTTAAACCAAAAATTTAAATAATTTGTCAAAATTCCTTAAACTTACTTGTTTAGTTGGCCTTGGGGAAGCTTCACTACTCTTTAACATCATGTCAGCTCTGTTCTCCTGACCACTTCTGGCCCACCAGAGGCCTCTGTAGACTACATGGCGCCTCGTCCACTCCCCTGTGGGGCAGGGTAGGCCTGCTCTGTCCAGGACTCCACGGTCTCTGAGCAGAGGTCAGATCCTGCTCATATCTCATGTCCAACCTCTTACTCCAGAAATGTGAATAGAGTAAATGTCTAAACCCTTCATTTTGCTCCCGTACGGTTTTTCAAAGGTGGCCGGTCATATGACACTTAAAGAGGGGTGTTCTTGTCCTAGTTAGTGGGTCACAGGATGACAGGTGTGGAAGCCTAACGAGGCCACGGGAAAATGCCCCTCCGCCCTGACGCGGCGCACCTGCCGCAGGGCGTGCGCGTGCTGAGTTCCCTCCGCCGGGGTGAGCGCTCAGGCGCGCCGTTGCTGAGATCACTGTTTTCTACTTCTCTTTTAACCGTAATTTTCTCTGATGCTCAGGTGGAAAGGGGAGAGGGATTTCATGAGAGAGAAATTTTATGAAATAGCATTTAATCCCAAATCATTTAGAACAAGATTTTAAAATGCATTTTGTGATCTTGAGATAATCATAGAATCAGCTAAGTATTAATCACCTGCTGGAAGTTGAGAACTGTGGTCAAAAGAAGTATAAAGTGTTTCCTCTGGAAGCTTTTCGTCAACTTAGAATCGTAGCCTGTCACACCCGTAGTCTTTTAGAGCCCCGCATAAGATGGTAGTCGTGAGAGTGCCGGCATTCTTAATAGCTCTGTCCTAGCAATCCGATTAAGGAGGATGAACCACCGCTGTTGGGCATTTAAGTGCGTGCCTCTATATTGGATAATTTTTAGTTACTAATTTTATTTTTAGCTCCAAAGAAAGATCCTATAGAATAGCTAGTTATCCTTAACTTACAGAAGAGCAAACTTAAGCTCAGAAAGTTTCAGTAACTTGTACAGATCATATAGCAAGTACGAGGCACGGCCAAGATTCAGACTCTGATCTGTGACTTCCTAAGTCTATAAATTATCTTTCCTCCTCCCTCCAGGACTATTCAGAATGGGCTGGTATAGTCTTCATGGCAGGGGTGGAACTTGAGTTTAGAGGGTTTCATGCACAATTCGATAGATGGTAAATAGATGTGTCTGCATCCGTCAGCATCCTGAAGGGAAAGAGATGACAAGCTTGAAGTGGTCATTAAAGAAAGTTTAATGAAGAGACTGTTTACAGAGGTGTGCAGGGTTATGGAGACCAACAAGGGGAAGCGAGGCACTCAGGAAAGGTTGCCACCTCCAGACTTGAGGAAAGTGGAGAGAATGGCATGGCCTGAACCCAGTGTGGCTGTGGGCGAACAGGTTTCCCTTGCACCTCCGCCACACTCCGTACCAGTCTCCTTGTGGGTTCACCCGCCTTTTAAGTGAAGCCATTAAATTCCATACAGTTGAGAACTTCAAAAGCAAAACCACAATTAAAAATATAAGAAAATAAAGGGTTGCAGAGCTGTGGCCAGAGTTAGAGAGTCCCTGCCAAACTTCACTCAGGTGCTGAGGGAATGGAGAGTGGAGGTGGAGCGAACAAACCCAGCCTCTCTCTCTCTCATGCCCCCACATCTCCTGTGCAGCCCCCCGCTGGCAAGGGACCCAGTGTGGGTGTGGTCTGGAGGGATCAACCTCAGGACACCCACCCGGAGCAGGGCAAGAGGAATGGAGAGCTGATCTGGGGACAGACAGGGAACGGCCTGAGTGATGTTGTAGGGAAGGAAGCAGCACATGCACAGCTGAAGGCCGGCGGGCTCCCGTTGCCCCTGCTGGGGCCTGTAAGGTGTCGGAGGTGCTGGGAAGGGCAGGCACAGAGGCCTGGTGGAATTCCCAAATGTCAAGTAAAGGTGCCTGATCTTAAGTCGACAGTCAGTAGTAAGCCAGTTTTGTTTCACATATGTCAGTGTTAATTTATTTTTTTTATAGAACAGAGAGCAGGGAGATAGCTGAGAAGAATGACGGAGGGAGGGTGGCGAGGCTGAGAGACATCGGAGGTGGCTGGCTGCTGTCCACCCGGCAGGTGGGAGTGAGGGCGGGTCCCCTCGGAGCTCATCCGGCGCTCTCTGTGTTCCAGTGACCTACGGGATGATGAGCTCCAGCGTGTACTACTACACTCGCATCCTGTCGCAACTCTTCCTCGACACCCCAGTGTCCAAAACGGAGAAAACTAACTTTAAAACTCTTTCTTCAGTGGAAGACTTCTGGAAGGTATTTGTGATGACTTTGAAAGTACCTTGTTGTCGCTGAAAATTGTTCAGTTAGCTTCACAAGTTCAGTGTGGCAGTATCTGCAGGGCCTGCTATGTAAGATAGGAAAATTAACTGCAAGTCTGTAGCCTCGCCCCACGTTGAGTGTTTTATACTTAGTTTATGTAATCCCTGTAGTAACCATACAAGGTAAGTACTAATATTCCCCGTGTTGTAAATGAATCTCACGTTGATTCCGTGATTCCACATGGCCAGGAAATTGTAAAAATGGGCTTCATTCTGTCTGACAGACATTTCTTCACCTGGTTTCTAATTCGTGCAGTCATTCACGATTCAGTAAGTATTTGTTGAATATCTCTCAGGATGTAAGGCCCATAGTGCAAAATTTAGCTGTTTTGTCTTGCTGTTTTTCCCTTTTTTTGTGTCTTTGTGGATGGTGGCAGATACCCTATGAGAGTGCATGATACAGGCAGGTACCTTCCTTTAAAAAATCTTCGATGAAAAATTCAACCCAGCCCCTTCACAAATTGTCACAAATTCCCATATAGTAGCAGAGGATAAGTAATGAATGATACCATTGGAAAAACATGTAAGTAATCTGGGAAAATGGGGCTCAGAATCTACAAAAATTGGGGAACAGTGGAATTGGAAAGGAAACAATTGTTTCTTCCTGAGGAGGTATTTTCTAAAATTTTTGTAAGACTCTGGTGTCAGAGCTGCTTATGTGAAAGAAAAAGGAAAGTGGATCACAGGAAGCTGTTCATTCTAAAGCCTAAAAATACTTGACATCCAAAACTACACTTACACAACATGAGTAAGTTCCTACTTCAACTGTGAAAATCACCTCATCTCTACTGATTATCTGTTAAGACCCTTAGAAAGTCTAGATTTCTTTCCAGTAGGCAAACTAACAAGAAACTTCTCATATACACACAATTCCGTGATAATAAATGCCAAGCTCTAAAAGCAGTTGGGCTGCGTTGGAGAAAATTGCCCAAACAATTAAAAGATCCACCAGGTGGCAGACTGTAATCAAAATCTATAGCCTTTTCCTTTCTAAACAAGTTTAGAACCATAGTAAGAAAATTGCCCAAACAATTAAAAGATCCACCAGGTGGCAGACTGTAATCAAAATCTATAGCCTTTTCCTTTCTAAACAAGTTTAGAACCATAGTATTCATTATAAACTATTTTAATAAGAGATAATGAAGTTGGTACTGGCTGTGGGCTTATGTAAACAGTCTGCTGCACTCCCACCTTCAGTCCTAAGGCAAAAATCAGAGTTTCCATTTAGGAAGCTCCCACTGTGTGCCTATTGCTCTGTGAAATGACACAGAAAATTATCATGACCCCTCCACAGGGATGACACACAGATTTGTAGAGGGTTCTGTATTTGTAAAAAAGAAATGCACTGTTCATCTTTCATGTGAAATACTACATGCACTTTAAAAAATTAAAATTCTTTTTTTTTTAAGATTTTATTCATTTATTTTTTAGAAGGAAGGGAGGGAGAAAGAGATGGAGAGAAACATCAATGTGTGGTTGCCTCTTGAGTGTCCCTTATAGGGGACCTGGCCTGGAGCCCAGACATGTGCCTTGACTGGGAATCACAGTCCAGCACTCAATCCACTGAGACACACCAGCCAGCACAAAAAAATATTAAAATTCTTTAAATAATAGCATCCTATCAATTTGGTTGCAGCAAACAAAACACTGCAAAAGACTAATATTTTGAAGCATTTACAAAAATACATTGCACAAAGTCCTACCTAGAATTGTTTAAAATAAATTAATATTCACAATATTTCTTCCACAACTCCCAAATTTAGTTAAATTATACATAGGAAATTTTACTTTATTTGTTTATTTATTCTATAATTATGAAACATCTGAATACACTTTATCCTTTTTATCTGCAAAGGCAGTATTTCCAATTCTAACAAGACTGAAAAAAATGCTACTCTAGACCTGGCTGGTGTGTCTCAGTGGATTGAGCGCTGGCCTGGGAAACAAAGGGCTGCCAGTTCAATTCCCAGTCAGGGCACATGCCTGGACTGCAGGCCAGGTCCCCAGTAGGGGGTGCGCGAGAGGCAACCACACGTTGATGTTTCTCTCCCTCTCTTTTTGCCTCCTTCCCCTCTTTCTAAAAAATAAATAACAGAATCTTTCAAAAATGCTGCTTTATGTACTTTTTGTGTACTTAAGGACTTTTGTGCAATATACATAAAATTTCAGAAAACCAGTCAGCGGTATTGTTTTATCTTTTTCCGAAAATAACAGCGTTTACACAAAAAAAAGGTCTTAACCCAGTAAAACTTAAATTATTTTAAAGTTAAAACATCTACAACACTTAACTGCTTTGCAGATACCTCATTTATAAAGTCTGCTCAGCAAAATAAATATTAAACATTAACTAGAACCAAAATGAATCTCACAGGAATCTAGTGAGAATGGCCAACAGTAGTAATGAAAGGCGAATCCCAACCAAAGCCAGTACAAAGTGCTGCTGTAAGAACAATTATGATCATAATGGGATGGTTTCATGAATTTGCCTCACTGGACAATCTCCTTTGTCAATTACCAGTGGAATGAAAACATGAACCTCAGAAAGATTCAGCGCACATTAGTGTTTTCAGCAAAACCAGAAACAAAACCTGAAAAATATCAAAAGATTGGATTTCTTGGTTTCTGTTCATCCTGTGAAGTGAAAACTGCAGGCTCCTCCCCAAGGGTTGAGCCTCGTTGAGACCTGAGAACCCCGTTTACGTATTTGTTTAGATCCAGATCGTCCCCTTTGAAATCATCTGTAGTGACCATGCGAAAGATAGACATTACAGGTGCGGGAACCCAGGCTCAATGGAGGATCCTGCTCCAGGCCTCGCAACTAGCAAATGATGGTATAAGATCCAACTTCAGTCTCTATGACAGCAAAACCTACCCTTGTCACTCTACTGTGTTCACAGAGTGCTACGCTGTTGGTCATGCAAACATTCCAGGAAGGAGCAAGGCTGCCGCTGAGCTTGGAGCTTTTCAAAAATGTTTCCTGTGCTTTCAGTTCACAGAAGGTGCCTTACTGGATGGGCTGTACTGGAAGACACAGCCCAGCAACAGAAATGAAGCTGACAACCGAAGCTTCATCTACTATGAGAACCTCCTGTTGGGGGTACCACGGATACGGCAACTCAAAGTCAGAAATGGATCCTGTTCTATCCCCCAGGACTTGAGAGATGAGATTAAAGAGTGCTATGATGTCTACTCTGTCAGTAGTGAAGACAGGGCTCCATTTGGTCTGAGAAATGGAACCGCGTGAGTGTCTATGGCTCCCCTGGCCATGTGCCCTGGCCTCTCACTGACATTCACTTATATTCTTCCCTCCCTTCCTTCCTTTCTTTATTCCTAGTCTTCAGTTGACCCTTCCACTTCCTTACGATTTGATTTACTCCTTAAGCCTTAAAACCCATGCTTTTGAGATCTCTCTTGGAAGTTCCCTCTAGTTAAATCCACTGAACAGTTCTGTCTTCCTCCTAATCAGCCTCTCTGCAGTGTGTGCCAGTGTTGGTAGCTCATTTTTTTTACTTTTCTCAGTGACACTGAACTTAGGTTCTCTTAATTCTGTAACCCCTTCTTTTCTCTCGTCCGCTGTCTGACTCCCAGGTTCTATATTCAGATCTCTTCCTTTTCTTTCCTTATATTCTGTCCTTTGAAACTTAGATAGCTCCCAGTCTTGTCTCTATTTGATGTTCATTATCTTTTCAACAAATATATTGAGTGTCCACAAGTGCCTAACACGTTCTGGGGGAGGTCTTTTTCCCCCAGCACTGCCCTGGGAGCAGCAGTGAACAAAGCAGAAGCAAATGTCCTGTCTTTACAGACCTCACATTCTAGTGATGGAAGACACGTTCTGCCTGTGGGTCCCACCAGCTCCTAGAATTCAGTCTACCCCAAACTGAACTTGTCCCTTTCTTACTGGATTTGCTGTCCTCCTGCTGATGGCATCGCCATCTTTGCATCTCCCCCGACAACAGTGCAGAGGCATCCTTGAGATATCCCTTTTCCCTTGGCCCAGTTTCCAAAACAGTTGCCAAGTTCTGTTGACACTCACTGCCATGGAGGCACTCTCTGTCCTTCTTTCTCTTCCGTGACCCCCCCCCCCATGTCCCGTGTCACTGCTCTAGTTCAGGCCTCATCACCTCTTGGTCATTGCAGGGACTGCGGAGTGTGCTGTGTCAGGGTCCAAGCCCCAGGACTCATAGCTGTCAGCATATAGTCATATTTGTGACTAAGGTTCACTGCAGTGAGATCATGATGCAAAGGCAGCAAACAGTGGAGGTGCATGGGGCAAAGTCCATACGAAACAAAGGGCAAGCTTCCAAAGTCTTCTCCCGGCAGCCTCACGTGGGATGGGCTTAATTACTCCAGTGACCATCTGTAACAACACGTGTGAAATCTTATCTGCTGGAGGAGTTCATTAGATTTCTAGCATTCAGAGTATTAACTGGGTGCTGCTCAGCTAGGCACCCTCTGCCTGGCACGCACCAAAGTCCCCGGCTCCCAGAAGGAAAGCCTAATCCACTTTGTACTGACAGCTTAGGTACAGTGAGCCGCTCTTGCCAGCCAGGAAAGTCTTCTATCAGCATGGGGTTCTGTTATCAGTCACGTTCCAGATGCCAGCCAACGCCCAACTTGCAAGCAGGCCTTCCTGAGGAAAGACTGTCTTGGACCCGCTGTGTTAACTCTCTTCTGCACACCAGCCCTCTGTTGCCCACCACTCCAGGCTTCCCTGCTGCCACCAGAGTAACCCTGTTCTGTGCCTCTCGGAAGGCTTCCCTTCAGGGACTGCGTGTGTGTCTTTCACTCTCTGACCATAGCGTACCTTTTGACCTTCTTTTCTTCATCGTATGAGTCACACAGCACCCCTAGCTGAGCACCTTGCACTTCCCTGACCCTGTCGGGCTCCAGCTTGCAGATGCCTTTCCCACCCACCTGTGCAAGTCCAAATCCTGCTTACCTTTCACAGCCCAGTTCCAATACGGCTTCTTCCCAAAACCCCCTGTGATCCACCTATCCCATTGCTGGTCCTCCAAGTAAGGATAGCTTCCCTTTGATCTGCCCAAGCAGTTTCTCTATACTTCTCCTGTTGTCATCTACCTTTTATTTTAATGGTTTAATTACAACTTTTCTCTCCCTACTTGTTACAACTTTGGGAGGGAAAAGATCCTGATTCATCTTTATATCTCTATTAGTGCCAAAGAAACATCTGGTTCCTAAGTGATCCTCTATACATATCTGTGGGTTACATTACCAAGTGCTGTTTGAGGTCTTATTTAGTTCAGTTGCCAAGAGTGACATTTGATGAACCTGTCCCTCTTTTGGCTGAAGTTTTCTTTGGGAGCCCAGGGTCATCTAGTCCCAGAGCACCATTATCCAGAGAAGGCAGCCTTATGAACTAAGGGCTGACTGCACAGGGCCCTGGTCTAGGTTCCTGGCTCTGCCCTCAAAATCTCTGAGACTAACTGGACTCACTAAGTCTCAGGGCCCTCATGTCTGAAACGGCCTATGAGAATTGAAGAAGACAACACTTATACAAAACCAAAGGGGGGTAGGATCAAGGGTGGGAAGTGGGGACGGCTAGGGTTGGGGGGAATTGTGGGGGGAAATGGAGACAACTGTACTTGAATAACAATTAAAAAAAGAAAAATTGTGAAAAAAACACACAAAAAAGAAAATTTAAAAAAGGAAGATAACACTTATGAAGCTTCATGTCAAGCACATTACTCAGCTTGATAAGACTTGTATTTTTTATCACATACCCTTTCTTACCAAGAACCAACTAAATTTGTAATTGCCAGAGGTCTTCCACTGACTTTGATTTTACCTGTTTGTTTTGTTTTCATTTTATTTCTTAATTAGTTGGATCTACACAAGTGAAAAAGACTTGAATGGGAGTAGCCACTGGGGAGTGATTGCAACTTACAGTGGAGCCGGCTATTACCTGGATTTGTCAAGAACAAGAGAGGAAACCGCAGCTCAGATTGCTAGCCTCAAGAAAAATGTCTGGCTGGACCGAGGAACCAGGGCAACGTTTATTGACTTTTCAGTGTACAATGCCAACATTAACCTGTTCTGTGTGATCAGGTGTGTACCAAGGGCACTCAGCCCTCCCATTTCCATGTATTTTTATATACATCCTAACCAGGAGATGGGCCAGAAAACTGTTGCCTGCGGTTGGCTGAATGAGAGTGTCAAGTATCAGAGATGACAGCAAGGGAGGGGTGAAAACTGCAGGCTATTGGGATAAGGATATTGGCGGGAAGGGAGTTAGGATCCTGGACTATAATATGTTGGGAAGAACCTTAAGTCTGGCCCATGTTCATCCCCAGAGCACTTTTTGCTAACATCTGTTTTTACCCATCATGAGACTGATCAGTGCCACATGCTCCATGACCAAGGCCCCAACCATCAAATCTTGACTCACTGCCCTGAGTTTCCCGCTCTCAGATGACGTCCCTGCTAGCGTGATATGAACACAGGAGTCAGGGGCTATCTCTGGGGTAGGCGGGATGCCAGGGACCTGCTCATGCTCACGATGCACCAAAGGCGCACAGAGTTCCTTCTCCAGGTCCTGCGATGTCACCATCATAACCACTCAGGTGACAGTGTGGAAACTGAGAGGGATCCCACTAGCTTGTCTGGAGCCCCTTGTTTGTTCATTCTGCAAACATTTAGTAGACATTTAATATGGTGCCAGGCATTATTCTAGGCTCTTGGGACACATCAGGGAACAAGGTAAAGATCCCTGTCCTTGCAGAGTTTGCATTCAACTGGAAGAAGATAGGTAATAGACAATTAACAAGAAACAAAGAAACAAATTAATTAAATTGTATATTAGAAGGTAACATGCTATAACAAAAAGAGAAATGTAGAATAGGCAAGGGGATGAGAAGTTCACCCACGTTAATCATCTTGGTGAATGTGTTGCCAACACCAGTCACCAGCCTGAATCACTTCTACATATATTTACCCACCAAATAAGGATGAATTCTCACAATGTCCTTATTTTGTGATCATTTTTTAGGCTAAACTCAACTCTGCTTAAAATGGCCAGTGGGATTTTTCCAGTCCTTGAATTTAACAACTTTTGCAGAAAGTAATATTACATTAAAACAAATAAAAGTTACTACTAGAAATGAATAAAAAGCTTATTGCAAATATTTCAAATGTCAGAATCATTAAAGCATTCAATGTTTTAATGATTCTGACAAGGATAGGAAGAAGGATAGAAACAGACAGGCAATCTGATTGACTTTTAAGGAAATATCTATTTATAAACGGTCTTGACATCTTTTACTTCCTCCCCACACTTTTAAGAGTGAATATGGTCAAGACAATTACTTCATTTCTCTGCACAGTTGTCTAAGTTCCTGGAAGGAGCTGACCAATGCAGAGTAAGATAGGCCAGAGAGAGTACTTGGCAGAGGTACTTCCTCCCTCATGAGTTTGCACCAAGGTTGTCACGAGATTGCGTTTCAGTGTTGCTCTCCTGAGTTACAAATAGTCCACGAAAAAGTCAGTCAGGGAACTGATAGTAAAGAGGAAGGAAAAAATTCCACACTGCAGTGACCAGTTTCTAACTTGCCATAGCCTCTGCCTGTACTTGACTCATGCATGAGCCCTGGATACTGAGGTTCTAGTTTGGGCTGTGCATCCCGTAATGGGCGAAACAGTTAATGCCTAATAGCAGACTGAAGGTCTTTTGAAAGTCTTACAGTTAAAAAGGTAGAGGTTCTATTTTTAGTTTGATAGAGGGATGGGACGATACCATGAAGTGAATCACTTAACTTTCTCAGTGTGACAGCTACAAAATGGTGATTTGGCAAGAAATGTCCTCAGTTTATGTTACCACTCAAGATCAATGCCATCAGTAGAAATGGAAGAAATATGTTACTCTTTGTGACAATCAGACTTTTACTGAGCACCTATTAATTGTAAGGCTCTGGGTAGCAAAAAGTATCCCCCAGGGTGAATTATTCAATGCTAGTTAGTGTTACCAAATTAATGAATGGGAAACTCAGTCTCTATCTTTATGTGTATGCAAAACATACAATTTTGAACAGATCATATATGTTTTGAGTGCATAACATATATTTCTATGTTCTTCATTGCCTAGTAGAATGACTTGCATTTAATAAAAGGCCTAGAAAGGCTTGCTTGTTGATTTACTCCTACGTTACAAAAAAAATTATATGGCATTTTAAAAGTATAAATACCAGAGAAGTGAAGGGGAGACCAAAAAGGAATAATCTCTTTGGTCTGAGAGGACTTGGTAAATCCTATACTTTTTGTTACATAAAATTCTACAAGCATGGAGTCACTGGCCTTGACAAAAAAAATGTTTTGCCACTAGTTTTGGGTGACACGTGATTACAGTTTTATTGCTCTACAGTGCAGGGACAGAATAAATGGACATCCTGTCCTGGATACATCTGTATGTTGTTGTTATTGTTACTGTTTTCATTGTTCTTGTTACAATGCAGGTTATTGGTTGAATTCCCAGCAACAGGCGGTGTGGTTCCATCTTGGCAATTTCAGCCTGTAAAGCTGATCCGATATGTCACAACTTTTGATTTCTTCCTGGCAGCCTGTGAGATTATCTTTTGTTTCTTTATCCTTTACTATGTGGTGGAAGAGATATTGGAAATTCGCATTCACAAGCTACACTATTTCAGGAGTTTCTGGAATTGTCTGGATGTTGTGATCGTTGTGGTAGGTTCGAGAACAACACCCAATTTCCTACTCTGTTTTAAAAACATGTGAATTAGAGTCATAGTGGCCACAGCATTGTGGACCTTGATATTCCAGAAGGTAATTCTTGAACTTCTCCTCTGTTACATCAACTCCAATATCACTAATTATTTCTTCATTTTTCATGAGTAACCCTTCTGAATATGGAAGTAAAGAGACTATTTGCCATAAACTCTCAGGCACATTAATAGCAACAATAAGTAATTCATATTCACCTGTGCCATGCCATATGAGATGTTGGGGAGAGAACAATGTTCTGTTTTGTTGATTCTGTTTTTTTGCTAATGGTATTTTTCTTCAACTGCTAGTAAAAATTAACGTATATATTTTTTTGCACATGTGTTAAGTTATGGCAAGAAGAAACACCCTGAAATATTTTGGGTGCCAGAGAAGACTTCCTGGCATTTTAAAATTTTCTGCAAATAGCCCCAAGTGTACTAAATATCTGACCGGCAAGGTTTTCCATATGAAGCGAAAGAAATCATAAGACAGAGTTAGGACAGCGTCAAGACTATGATACTCATAGGTCCCCGCCCTGCCCTTGACCTCCCCTAATACTTTGTTCAGAAGGCTTTCCCTTCAACATCATCTTAACCACTTCCTTCCAGAAGCCACAGGGCAGAAATGTATTTTTGCAAGCTCTGCTCCCTTCACTAATAACGCTTAATCTATTGCTGAGCCCTGTTACACAGTTACGCACAAACTGGCATGCTTAATTGTCATGTGCTTAAAAGTCGAATAGCAGAGATGCCCCTCTGGAGTCTCAGTAAGTGACACATTACCCTCTTCTCGTTCTCTCTTCTCCTATTCTGCTTCCCAGTCATTATTCTGCTTCCCAGTCATTATTCTGCCCCCGCAACCAGAAATTTGTTTGTGAAGCATTTGCATCAAGTCATTATCAAAACATCAGTAGAATTAGTTGGTGAAATATAGAAAATGTGTTATTGAATGTCACAGATATACTAACATATTGTGCTACTAAATGCAGATAACTTGTCTGTGTGAATAAAAGGTAAGACATTAGAAGAAGTGTGTAGACACAGTGCACAGCAATACTAACGACACTGACAGGAATGAGGATAAGAGTGACTGCTGACGCTGTGGAAGCTGTCTGCAGTGGAAGCTGTGCTAAGCTCCGCTTGTACTGCTTTTTCTGTACACAAATTCATTTAGTCCTCACAGTACCGTCTCAACCACTGTGCCTCTACCTCAGAAGTCAGAAAGAGCTTTCACTTAAAATAAAAGTCCTGTGGAAGATGGTACAGAACTGATCGAACCCTGATGTGCATAGAAGTGCGTTCCTTCTTTCGTGATGGTCTTACAACATCACACAGTTCCTGTAGGTAAACTCTCGATCCCCAAATTCTCAATGGATTAATAAATAATGAGTAGAGTTTTCAAAAATTGCAGTATTCAAGCAGGCCAGAAAGATGATGATAATAGAAATAATTTTTCAAAATATTTCTGTACTGTGTGATGGCTGACTGCAGTCCATATACATTAAAATTTATTCTAGATAATAATTACCTTTTGGAACTTTAAAGATGCAAAATCTACTCATTGAGTTTATATGAATATATTTATATTTAGATCATCAAGGATAATGATAAAAGGGTACATGTAATTTTATGCTAATTAATAACAGTCTTCTTTTTAACTAAATTACTTCAATATCAGCAAAAGTCTAGTCAGTGGCATTCAGCTTTTTTGATTATACACCTGTCCTTGGAAACTTTGATGACACACCCTAATGTATTGTGTTTGTTTGTAAAGTGTGTTTGTGTGAGGATGTGTACTGGTATAACAGGTATATTAGTAAAAAAACAACAACAATACAGAATCGAAAGATTGGGATAAAAATAAATGGAAATAGAATTCTAACACTTCCTTTTCACCTGCTTGGAAGTTTTAATATTTTCTTCCCACACTCCAGTGAATTGCTCCATCTGCACTTTGGAGACCACTGGGAAAAACAGCGTATGATATCTTGCAAACTGAGGATAGTTTCTTTGACTCAGCAGCCACAACATTTTGCAAATATCCCTTTGAAAACTGGCTTCACTGTGCTGCTGTTCCTATTTCTTAATTCTTAGCACTGCCAAGACCGCAGTTCAAACAGTGTGCTTTTAAAAAGAACAAGGAAGGGCTGCTATTGAAGTCTCACTTCTTCAAAACCTTTCCTGACCCAGTGGACTTGAGGGCAAGCTTTCCGCTTGTCCCCAGAACATGGCCCCTGTTCCATCAGACCTCCAACCCCATGAAAGAGGCCAAGGCGGTTTTGTTTTATCTGGCCCAAGTTTGCTTGTCCACCTGACTTGAAAGGGTCCAGCTGAAACTTGAAATTATATTCTAAATATAATATCTTAGAATCACTTTGAAATTGTTTCCTCTAGTTTCTGTTTTTCTCTAACACTCTGAGGTCTGCAGGCTTACTTCAATTAATCATTTGTCCTAAGCAATATCTTTCAACACTAGCAGAATTACTGAAAAAAAAAGAAAGACTATTAAGAAGCCTAAATTCAAATCATTTTGCTGAGTGGTAGGTTACATGTGGTGAAAATGATTTATTCACGAAGTATTTTCTGATCACCTACTGTACACCTGGCACTGTTCTAGGCATTGAGAATATAGAAATAAACAAAACCAGATAAACAAGGATGTCACTTATATTTTATAAAGGATGAGAATCCTCAAAAAACTCTGGAGAGACATACCAACCCAAATGTTCACAAAATCTATTCTCTCACTCCCTGTTTGGAAGGAAAAGTCTCAAGGAAACTTAGTGTATTGACATGATACCAGTATTGTATAAACGACCGTATATTCTATATTTTTGTATTTTTCTGTACAGAGTGAAAACAACTGGAACAGAGTACAATGTACTTAGTGAGTGCTGGGTACAGGGTTATTGTTGAATTCAGTGAGTCAGTCCTTCTCTTCAGCTGCTTCTTCTTCCTTCTTAGCTAAGTCTATGGAGCAGACATTTTTAGTGTATTCCAGAGAGCTCAAAGAATATATTCATGCAACACAGAAACACAAGATTGGCTCTGGAAACCTTAGAGAAGAAAAGGAAGGTGCTGAGGTTGCCTTTTCCAGTTGTTCTTGGCAGCCAGTGAGATCTTTGATATGATAGTCCCCTGGGACCATGAGCAAATGGCCTCTCAAGAAAGGCCAGTGAGGTGGCTGTGGACCCTCATCCATAAGAAGAGAGGGAGAATGGGCAGTGAAGGTTACAGCACCTGTCACAGCCCACATGCCATGGATTTAGACCCCCTGAGAGGACAAGGGGGTTGTGGTTACCCCTATTCCACCGATTGGTGCTAATCCACTGGTTATGATGCAAGTACAGGGCCCAGTGTCCCTCAAATATGGCTTTGTAGCCCAGATGTGAAAAGTCGTCTGGTCATGAATTAAGGAACAAAAACAAGCACAAGGAAAACCCTTGACCCGCGTGTTCACACTGCAAGCTTCATGAGCCCTCTGCATCATTCCCTCTGTCCTCTTAAGACCAAGCTCATTCATTCCTGGTACGAGCACTCCTTTTCCTATCTCTTGTTGCACCCTTCATCTTGTGTTGTGTGATGCCAGTTCCTATATTATTTATAACTGTGTGTTTATTTGGTCTTGAACCAGAGTATATGTTTCTTGAGGACAGAGTTTGTGCATTTTACTTTGGTTTGTTCCTCTTGGCCCCTAGCACAGTGCTGTGTACATGAACATCCACTATGTATTTGTTGAATAGAGGAAAGAATGAGTGGTTGGAAATCGAAAAAAAGAACATAAAAGCAGAAAGCACCATGAGGCAGAGAAAGGAGAAGGGTAGAAAGTGATTTAAATGAGGGTGGCAGAAAAAAACAGAAGTCAGTCATATCTGAGTTTGTTTGGGGCATGGCGACCTCTGTCTCTTTCTCTCAGATGTGTATATGTACATACACTCATTGGATCTCTATTTTTAACTAAGGAAGTGCAAGTAGCATATTGTTTTACTTGTCTTATGGCAGTAATCAACACTTTCCATTTGTGTTAGTGACTTCTAGAATGCCATTGAGTGAGCAGAACATTGGGCCCCAGAATTAATACAATGGTGAAGATAAATAAACTACTCATTTTAGCATTTTAGGGTAAGTTATGTATTTCTAAAGCACTGTTATAATACATTAATCTTTTGTTTTCCAGCTATCTGTGGTAGCTATAGGAATTAACATACACAGAACATCAAACGTGGACGTGCTGTTACGGTTTCTGGAAGATCAAAACACTTTCCCCAACTTCGAGCATCTGGCATACTGGCAAATACAGTTTAACAATATAGCTGCTGTCGTAGTGTTTTTTGTCTGGATTAAGGTAATTAATAAATTTCATGTCCTGGACTCCAAGACCTGGACTAGGTTTTGTTTAACAGATGCAGTAAGAGGCCTGTTCAGTATGTCAGCTGGACTTGGAGTCCCAGGCTACTCACAGGGACGAGTCACCCAGATATGGGGTGACCAGGTAAAGTAAAAGAAACTAAGAGAAATGGCGGGAGAGGGGAAACTGTTCGGAAATGCTTTCCAGAAAGATTGCCTCTTCTCCAGGTAGAGGCCAGGGGGAAGTTTCACCTAGAATTGAGGACAGGTCGGGACAGGCACCTCTTCCAGGTCGTTCCTTAATCACTCATTTTCTTCTTTTCTCAAAACATAATGTCATTTCCATGTATGTCAAAGGTTTGGGCATTTCACCATATACAATAAGCCTTCATTCTGGAGGTGCAGGAAATTTCAGTAATTCCAAGGCAGCTGCCAGCCTGTTACCAGTCAGGTTCTATGACTGTGCCACCCAGGCAGCCACTAGCCACAAGTGTCTTCCTAAATTTAATATCAAATTAGTTAACATTACATGCAGTTACACATTCAGTTCTCAGTCACTGTAGCTGCATTTCAAGTGCACAATGTCTATGTGTGGCTAGTAGTGTTGTATCAGTGGAAGCATAGAACATTTCCATCATCACAGAAAGTTCTGTTGAGCAGCACTGTTTTAAATGGCACTTAACAACAGGTGCTCATTTTCCTGAACTGGAATTCGTGCCTGGAATGCCTGAGATTTCTCAGCACCTGACCTCATCCTGCGTCTCTGTATTCAGTCAGGAGCTTGTTCAGGAGAAACCATCACTAACGTACCACGCCTTCATTGTAAGCTAGTAATAACAATCAGTATCTCTTAGAAATACTAGTAGGGACAGTATTAAATACCATGATTACAACACTCTAAAAAAGTTTTGGTGTGGCCAGAAACAGTTTTTAAGAGATCTTCAATAAAATTTCTACAGGTTTCCTTTCAATGTGTGCCTCAAGCTGCATTATTAGGTGCTTTATATGTAAATATCTTGCCCACCAAACTTGAAGAACCATTACATTCTTGAAGGCAGGGTCGTAACTCACCTCCTTGGTATCTCCCCGGTGTACTTCTCTCAAGGCTCTGGCTGCAGGTGTGGGCCAGCTGTCATGCCCTCCAGGCTGTGAGCTGCTCAGCCTCGGCAGCTGTCCTCAGGGCCTGACTTACAGAGATGCTCAGTGTGGCTTTGCAGTCAGACACAGCTGGGTTCAAACCCTGACTCCAAGCCCCATGTGACTCCTGAGAGAATACCGGTGTTTTGGTCACTGTAAAGATTTGACACAGTCTACTTAAGCCCTCCTCCTCCATAACTGGTACACAGTAGATACACAGTAAATGACTGAGCTTTGTTCAGTTCACTGCTGTATTCCCAGCTCCAAGAATTGCACCTGGCGCAGGGAAGGCACTCAATAAATACTTTTAGAATAAGATAGTAGAAATTGTTAGATTTGAAAAAAAGCAAGTCATTTTTCTTTTAGCGTAGCATTTGCAAGGTTTATCCATGTTGTAGCATGTATGAAAATTTCATTCCTTTGCAAGGCTGAGTAATGTTCCCCTGTTTGGTATACCCCAGAATTTGTTTACGCCATTCATCTGTTGATATCTTCTCTCTCTTTACAGCTCTTCAAATTCATTAACTTCAACAGGACCATGAGTCAGCTCTCCACAACCATGTCTCGTTGCGCCAAAGACCTCTTTGGCTTCGCAATTATGTTTTTCATTATTTTCTTAGCATATGCTCAGTTGGCGTACCTTGTCTTTGGCACGCAGGTTGATGACTTCAGTACTTTCCAAGAGTGTATGTAAGTATATATAAAATTAAGAAGAAAAATTTAGGGCCTGCGAACCAGACAATCGCAGTTCGATTCCCAGTCAGGGCACATACTGGGGTTGCAGACCGGTTCCCTGCAGGCCAGTTCCCAGCAGGGGACGCATGAAAGGCAACCATACATTGATATTTCTCTCCCTCTCTCCTTCCCTTCCCCTCTAAAGATAAATAAATAAAATCTTAAAAAAAAAAAAAAGAAAAATTTAATCAGAGATGTCACTGCCTTCTTAAGGATAAAGGATAAATCTTCACAGTTGCTATTTGACCACCACATGTTTAAAAGTAGTTGTTTATTTATTTTTACTTCATATTTTTATTTTAATGTTGCACTGTAAAAAATAAAATTGAATGATACACATTATCAAAGCACTGATCTCAGAAATAACCAAGCAAAATCCCAATTTATTTATATTTTTATTTATTTTTTTGTATTTTTATTGCATTTATTGGGATGACATCGTTAATAAAATCACATAGATTTCAGTGGCACAATTCTATAACACAGCATCCATATATCATGTGTTCACCACCCCAAGTCAAATCTCCTTCCATCACCATTTATTCTCCATTTGCCCTAAAAGTAGTTGTTTAAAATAAGAGTTCGTCTTTTTCCCAGAAACATTGAACCACCAATGCATAGATGACCATACATCCTAATATGGTGATGCTTAAAATAGCAGTCGTAAAGCAATCAGGCCTAGAAGACCAGCCACAGCAAAGCAACTGTTCCAGAGAGCCAGGTCTTCTTGGCACCAGACGCAAATGGTAGCTTTTACGAGACCCTTTGCCTATATTTTTATTCCTCTTCAATATTGTTGCCATATGTTTTAAACTTCAAGCTATTTTTTCTAAGAAAAAAATAGTACTTTTAGTATTCTAAGAGAAACTCAAAGCAGTATAGGAATTTTCAGTCTCTCCAAAGTTCTCATATGTAATAAAAAATGGAAAAGTAACCAGTATCAGATTTCCATTCCGTTTAGAAAAAAGTTAGTTAGGAAAGGAGATGATTTTGATAAGGGAAGTTAATAGGGCTTTGTACATGGGGATCCCTAATTAATGTTGCTGTTTGATAAAAGTCCGAAACGAAAATGATTTTACTAATCAAGACCCAGCATTGGTAACACACGGCAACTTTAGACCCCACTTTGAGTGCATGTCCGAATTCTGGATCTTTGAGATCTACAATTCTGGCTCTCCCTCAAAAACCTTTTTATTTTTATTTTTTAATCTTTATTTTAAAAAAGATTTTAAATTCAGACCCAGGGTTATCATTGTGAAGGTTTAGTGCTACTATGTTTGACCTAGATTATAGCCTATTGCTTTATAAATTTTCCAGTGGTAATTATTGTATTCCTTTTTAGCCAAGTGGAAATAATATATTTAGCATGAAAGAACATTGTTTTTATTCCAGAAGGCTTCCATACTCCCATAAATAGCAAGAGTTTTCCCAAGGATTGAAATTTTCTATTATTTACCAGCTGTCTGCACTGAAAACAACATGTGAAAATGTGAAATCGTTTTTGAAGCATTTCATCCATGCTGGACATTCTCTGTTTCTGTGTTGTGGTGCTGTGTTGTGTTTTGTTTTGTTTTTATAGCTTCACTCAATTCCGTATCATTTTGGGTGATATCAACTTCGCAGAGATTGAGGAAGCTAATCGAATTTTGGGACCAATTTATTTCACTACGTTTGTGTTCTTTATGTTCTTCATTCTTTTGGTATGTACACTTTTATTTAGAGTGAGGGGATTTACATTTCGTAAATCACCATCTTTTCTTTTCTCTACACTATTCACACCAGTTTTTTAAAAGATCTAGGAAATAGAAAAATGTAGATATTAGAAATCATTTTATTTTTTCTCTTTGATTTAGTTTTAAGTCTTCATCTTTCATTATCCATTGATCGATTGATAGATAGATAATGTCTATTCAGTACAAAAAAATAGATCATGCGCAGATTTATAAAGTTACCTAAAGTAGTGCTTTGCCTAACAAGTAGAGCATACTCACACGCTCTGTAAGCACAATCATCAGCACTTTCACAGTTACTTGCTAACATGACTTTGCATTTTTCTCTTTCTCTTTTCTGTTTGAAAAGGAGGAACTGACAGAGCAAGCTAGATTCAGGATGGCAAGAGCAGTATTTGAGTGAATTATTGCTTGTCAAGATTAAGATATTTTATTTCGCCTACTCATATTTAGTGTATCTACAGACTGTCTACAAAGAATATTTGTATTTTAAATTTAAAACTCAATCTGAACAATGTATGGATATTGCTTTAAAAATTATTTTCAGAAGTATTTTTATTCTTTTTATTTGGTACAAATTAACATTTTTAATATTTGGCCTTAAGTTAATCAAAAATGTTAAAGGTGTTTTGTTGTTCATCTTAACATGCATGCATTTATTTGTCCACTAAGAAAGTGTTAAATTAAGTTAGTTTAACCTAAGCAGTGGTTATTTTTTCATCTAAACACAAACACTTAAGAATTCCCACATCAACCATAACCTTAAGATTAACAATGAAGCTTCCTTTTTAATGCATTTGTAAAGATTCTTGTGTAAGATTCAGTATTTCAGTGTAATATCTCCAGCATGGTCCAGGTATTTAGTGGTTAAGTATATGGCCTTCACTGAGTGAGAATTAAGTGTTTGGATACAACTGAAGAGTCAGGAATGTCATGCTACTTCATTTGTATCTTGCCATACACATGTATCGTGATTACTTTTAAACTGGAGCCTCCTAAGTTTCTTCTTCTCGTATATATTAGAGAAAAAAATAGAGGAAAAGTAAGCCCTTGTTACGGTCTAATGTTGGTAGTACTTTGAATTCTGGAGCATGTGGATCCCTCAATCTCTACTAAGAGAACAAAAACCAGGAATTGAGCGTTCTGCAGTGACCCAGAAGAGACTTGAGGCCACCTTTGTTTTCTCTGTATGTCAGTCAGCCAAGGAAGGGACGTAACTGGCAATTGTCAGTGCTCGTGCATGGACTGGTCGAATGCTGTCCTCCAGTAGATAGGACCGTCTAAATTATTTGGTCATGTTATCAGATAAGTCACTTGAACATGAAAAGAAGCTCTTAGTTTTTGTCTTTATACTAAAATAACTTTTTGTGCTACTGCACAAGAAGGAATTGCTCTCCCTACAGGTCCCCAGAGAGAGAAGGGAGGCTACTGTCAATACAAACTTTTTTTTTAAGGAAATGACTAGCCAAGCACAGTGTTGGCCACATTTCTGAGATGACTGCCAGGTGTTAATTTATTGCCCCTACTTAACAAGAAGCTGCATTGTTGTGAGGTGGCTGAGCTGAGGCAGGAAGCAAAAGCCCATCATCATGAAGAAAGACCTCTGATTGCACAGGTCCATGTGACGACTGAGTGAACCTGATGAGCCAGGATGGAAAGAAGGAGGGTGGACTTCCTCTCCCTTCACCTTCAAGAGCCTTTCTCACCCACTTTCCAATTCTTTAAATCTCTTCAGAGGACACACTGTAATCCATTTCAACAAATACATTTGCAGGCATTTGGAAACAAAAATAAAACATTAGATGCCTGGATTGTAAAGGAGACATGGGAGGTGTTACCGTGACTACAACTGCCTGCCCTTGGAATCGAGCATTAAGCCAGAAACTTCTGTGTATTCTGTGTTCTATTCTCATTTCTGCTGCAGAATATTAAACAGTATTCCTCCTTAGTTCATGGCAATTTGGTAGCCCATTAAAATTCATTAGAATAATATAGCTCTCATTTGTTAATTCATCAATCATTCGATAAGTATTTACTGAGCCGCTGTATTGCAGTCAATGTGCTAGATACTGGTGATGCACGGGTAAGGACAGTAGAGCCCCACCCCACCCTCATGAAGTTTCCATAAACTTGTAGGGGAAATAGGCGCAATCAGATACACAGTTCTGTAGTTACGATCATAGTTAAGTGCTAAAAAGGAAAAACAAAGGAAGAGCATGTTAAAGAAGTTGGGTACAGTGCTTCCAGAAAATGTGTTGCAAGCAAGTGTTGAAAATATAAACCATTCTACTAGGGAAGGGAAAAGTGAGGAAAATGGACTGTTACTGAATAATAACGATAAATTATGTAGGCCCTGTCTTTAAGCACTTTTCATAGATTATCTCACCAATTCTTACCACAAATATGTAGCGAAGGTATTGTTATTTCTCCCATATTATAAATACAAAGACAAATAAATATATTTTTAAATGAAGATTTGAAATTTAAACAATATAGTCTTGGCAGTAGACTGAAACCCAGTTTTTCCTGACTACCCTCTTACTATGTCTACCACATTCCTCTTTGCAGAGGCCTTTTTAATTCTTCTATAAATCGCAAACAATATTATAGAACAATATTTGGAATAAGCATAGAATTTCATTTGTCTGTGTTGACTGTTGAAACTTGAAAAGCTATTTAGAACTCCAAGTAATTTATGTCAAATAAAAAATATAGACAACATATATAAGCAAAAATAATCCTCCATTCATAGGTAAATTCATTAATGTTTTGTTGTATTTTATTCTTGTTTCTTTTTACAAAATATATTAACATATGGTTTTGTAAATAAGAAAATATCTCACATTTTCTTTTGGCAGGACTTAATAGAAAAAAATTAATTTCCCAAACCATACGGTGGCAAAGTTAATTCATGTCTTTTTAAGATACCAAATTGTTTTTTTTAATGGCGAACAAAAAGGCATGTGTCAAAGATTAGATTTATGCTTACAAATGTATTTAGGTTGCTACTTTAACCTCAACTTTCCTTTGATTTACACACAGAATATGTTTTTGGCCATCATCAATGATACTTACTCTGAAGTGAAATCTGATTTGGCTCAGCAGAAAGCTGAAATGGAACTGTCAGATCTTATCAGAAAGGTATGACACACTCTAATTCTCTGAATTATTTTATTTTCTACATGAAATAAGCATGTTTCAGTCAGATTTTCAAATCAGCAATTATCAATTGTCATTGTTTAAAATAAACAGATTGTTGTGTTATAGGAATAATTTAAATGTTCTTGGAGCTAGAGATGGATCCACTGCTAGCTTGGATTTAAATTCTGGGAACCCTTTAATGCCCTGGAATTAAATCCTCAGTGAACTCCTGAGACTCTTAGAAGAGCGGGACTGCTGGTCCCGCCCCCTTTGTTTTGGTACCTCCTCTAGTTGGCTCTCACTTCCAGACTCAGAGGTTAGAATAAACTGGAAGAAGACATTTCCACTTTATCTACCTCAGTTATGGTTTTTAAAAAACTTTCAGAATAAAATACTTTGTGGTTCACCCTTTATCCTTGACCTTCCGGGGAAGCTATAACATGGTCAAAGGAAAAGGTCTTCGGGGGAAAGGCCACAGCCTGTGGGCATGAGAACTTTCACTACCCACCTTCTCGGGAAGTGCTTACTTGTTAAATAGAAGAGCAAGACTGGAAAGTTAGGCAGCTTTGTTCTTCTCAATATGACTTTGTTTGGTTTAAAGCAACGACAAACAACTACATCTAAAGTTTATAGCTTGTTACCTAACTTCACTGATTTCTAAGAAACAGTGGCTCTTTTTCTGTTGATTCAAGCTGTGGGACTATGTTGTCTGTGAATCATGTTGTAACAGAGAACTTTCCCTTTTAAAACAGAATCTATTGGATGGGACCTAATTTGCATTATCCTGATTTTTGCATAACAGTTTATTGTATTCTAGCAAATCTCCAGGGTGTATACAAGCAGTCCTCATTTTGCAGTTTAGTCCTTATATGCATAAATATCCATTATTTCAGTTAAATAACATCAGCTTCTCAACAGAGTTAAAATTTCAGTTATCACAGTATACTGACTAATAGCATAAAGTACAACCTCATTTTCAAAACTGGAAAAGGAGGCATTGGTGCTGCCTTTCACTACCAGAACCAATAAGCAGAGACAGGGATTGAATATCTGTGGGCGCTTTATTCAGATGGCCAGCAATCTGAGAAGACTGCAGATTACCTTAAGAAACCATCTTACATTCCATTTTAAACTGACCCCTTTTATAAAGAGAAAAAAAGTGTAGGTAAGGGGTTTGGAATTCAGGGAAAAATTAGATCAGATAAAAGGCTGCAGCATTCTTTCCTCTGCAATTCTCTTTCTCTCCCTGGAACACAGTGGCTCAGATACCATCTTCATTGCTCACAGTCCTCCTGGGGCACAAAGGTAGAACTGCTTGTGGTGTCCTGGAGTCAGGGCGGGTCATACCTTCAGTTTCTGAATAGTAAGGTTTTTGCTGTGCGTATTAGCTATTACCTGAAACTAAAGTCTTTCAACTCTTGAGTCCCCCATCATTTTCAGTTATCACAGTATTTTAACTGTGAATAACAGCATAAAGTGCAAACCTCACTACAAACCAATGCATAAATTACAGATGTGCATCAGAATCAGTGACCAATAATGTCACTTCTTGCAAACTCTCAGCTTGGTTACTGAGGACCTGCTGTTCACGTCACACATGAAGCACATAGTGGTGTTGGTTCCTTATCTCCCAGTGATAAATCATGTGACATTTTACAAAAAAGAAAAAAAGAAAGAAAAGAATAATTACTGGAAGAGAGAATGGGCCAGCAAAGATGAAAGTATAGCAGGGAAAGGAAAATGATACCACTATATGTGGAAATCAAAATAAATGTATTGGATTTATAAAGAGAATAAGTGGCTGTTTGTGGGAAAATCACTGCTACCATTGGGAGATCTAGATATGCAGCCAGAAGAACTTAGTGATAGCAAATTTATCAACATAAGTGAGAGAAGTGATTGTGACTGAAAGGATGAAGATGCTTCAGAGGAATTGACATTAGCAAAACAAAACAAAACAAAAACTTACATTAAAGGAACTCTTGGCAATACTTGGCAACATGAAAAATGCAAAGGATAAAATGTTGGGAATTGACCCATACTGAGAAAGAATTATGATAACTCACCAAAACTGGGAAAAAAAGCTCAGATGTTTGCTCTATATTGTAAGTTTTACAAGAAGAAGGCAAACAATGTTCAAAATACTCTAGATAAGTTTAACTTCCCCCCTAAGGAAAAAGAATTGCACTACTTATTCTCCCAAGGAAGTAATGGATCCAGTAATTTCTGAATTTGCCTCATTAACCACATTCTTGAGTTCAGAACAGAAGATCATACATTTCAGGTTTTACACTAAACCTGGCTGGTCTAATAATCAAATAGACACGAGACAAATTGGCAAGAGAAAATAACCAAATTTAATACATATATGTGTATGGGAACCCCACATACATGAGAGTCAGAGACCTCACATGCACGAGAGGTGCGGAGATGGAAAGGGAACATGGGTATAAAAGACATCTTGAGCTATGGATGAGGTAAGGTGCCTCAGAGATCTCAAAGGGTCACTTCAGGATGATGAGAACAGATGCTTAGTAAATACAAGTTTGCTTTGCCCTATAGATTGGTCAAAAACCATTATCGTTAATAATTACTTATTATGGGCAACACTCCTAATTTAAGTTCTTCTAGATAGTTAAGGGAGGGGCAGAGATTTCTCTTGTACCTGGGGTTAAAGTTTTCTTTGCTCAGAACAATCTGTACACCACAGAGGCACATCTTGGAGTGACTCATTCTGAACCCCCACAATTCTCTGCTCTGAAATTTCCCTGGAGGTTTCACATGCCAGAAGTTGGGCAAGTAGATTGTTCTGTATATCATTAAACCTGTCTCAGTTTTAAGGAAAGTTAAGTAGTCATGTCTTGATGCAGACCCCAGCTTATGGGGTCCGTCACATTGCGGATGAGACATGACAAATTCACATGCTTTGCCGAGTCCTGTGGAGGAAAAGGGACGGTGCAGCTTCTCTCTCAAGGGGAGAAAAAGCCTCAGAGCACCTCAGACACCCTCTCAAGAGGAGAGTGTCCCAACCCTTGCCTTGACAAGCTTTTATTGCTTTTCTGGGCACATCCATGATGGTCCTCATTTACTATGCAGAGGTTTCACTTTAGGTGGTTACCTCTTACAGAAAACAAAGGAGAGGATGCGGGTAATCACATCACAGAAGAAGGATATTTGCAAATGCAAAAGGAAAAGTGGTTGAACTGGTTACACTCGTCCTCTGAAGGTTTAGCATAGATTTTAGGAAGTTACTTTAAAGATATTCAGTAAATATTTTTGCCTCAATTCAAGGTGAGGGAGTTTTAGCAAAAGGAAGTCTCAAAGCAGCCTAGGTACAATGCAGGCCTGATTCTCCACGGGAGAACCTGTCCATAGGCGTGGGTCCTGTGCATCTCTCAGCAGGAGCTGGGCCCACGCCACACAGAATAGTCTCCTATATTCCCCCCTTGTTTTTAGTTAGGACCACTATAGATCCCACAGAGCTTACTACTTGCTGGTCTCTCACACGACCCTGGGAAAATAATTCACAAATGTATCGAAGTACACAGAGCATTATAATCAGTAAGCAACCAGTGGTTCCAAAGACCCAGATTCTCAGATTAAGCCCATCAATCGTTGTCAGGCTCGATACATAGATAACAAATAGATAACATTCAAGGAACTTTGAGGCCCTATTCTGAGTCAGGATCAAATAACTAAAAATGGCCACAAAATTTGGGGGAAACAAACTCATTTTAGGATTGGACCCTTATCATTTAAATTGAAGGTATTAGCAAAGTGGGTTTCACAGGATTTTATGCATTCTTTCTTAGACCTGATCCCCCAGGGAACCCTCCCTTTCCAGCACAGGGCCCCACTCACCTCCATCATTATTTCAGGATTAAGTCAGGCAAAGGAAGTAAGGCAGCCAAGAGATTAGGAGACTTCTTGCAGACAGAATGAGGACTCAGGCTTCATCAAAGCCAAGGGGCAAGGGTCCATCACCATCTTTTTCTATAGCCTCCAAAGTCCTTCCTTGGGGGCCTGCCATGATTGTACCTGTCTTAAGGCATCCCTTTCTTGAGGAATCTTACCTGTCATTGGCTAACTGATCAAGCACTAGGGGCCAGGCAGGGTGAAGTAAAAGAAGCAGAAGCTGCACCCCTGCCAGGGAGGTAAGCTTTGTCTCCTCAGTGGCTTATGGTCCAAAGGTCTCTCACTCAGCCTTAGCCATGGGGGGTTACAGCTCCTGAAACCAGGCAGGGCAGTTCCCAACAGGAAGGCAGTGATGCAGGTGGGTTCCCAAAGTTAAGTCTATGCTACAAGCAAGCAGGTATTTAATGAGGCATCTATCTCTATGAGAAACAAACAAACAAACAAAAAGGCTAATGATTGGAGAAGACTATAATCACAGTTTCTGAGCTCTGAAGATAGGCAGTCAAGAAGATTTCTAGATGTCTGTCTCCAGTCATCTTCAGATGGAGTAAAGTCAGGCTGGGACGATATTGTAGATTCTTCTGGTCTGTAGTTTGAACATCTCTGGTGATCTTTCTGGAACAAGCACAGAGATTGTCCACAGATGAGTTGTTGTGGTGATTTTTCTGAAGTCCATATCAAGTTGTCTGTCCCACTTTAGCTTGCATGGCCTTGGAAAAGGGCAGGTTTTTTAAATCCTCACCTGAGAGTATGTTTTTCTTGCTTTCAGAGAGAGAGAGGAATGGGGAGAGAAACATTGAGGTGGGAGAGAAACATCAATCGGTTGCCTCTCATACATGCCCCTGCTGGGGATTGAACCCGTACTCTAGGTATGTGCCCTGACCAGTAATTGAACCTGCAAGTCTTTCAGTGTATGCAGCAGTGCTCCAATCAACTAAGCTTCCTGGCCAGGGTGAAAAACAGCAGTTTCAATTTTTAATAATTCCAAGTCAAAAGGTGGGAAAATTATGTCAGTTCAGAGGATTGCAGCCAGATATTTAAGAATACCAACAAAGTCTTTGTAGCCACTCAGCCAAAGAAGAAAACTAGAAAAATTCAGCATGCAGTCCAGTCTAGAGGTAGAAAAATTTTAAAACTTAAAAGTCAATGAACAACACTAGAAGCTAATATCCTCAAAGGTATATTATAGTTTCTACTGCAGTGTAATTTTTCCTCTCTAAAATTATCCCAATTTTTCCTAAAGATAGCCAAATTAAAACTAACTTATTTGCAAAATTAGTTTCATTAAACTTGACCTGATTATTTGTGTTAGCCCACTAAGAATAGCAGTTGCTAGCCCTGACCAGTGTGGCTTAGTTGATTGGTCATCGTTCTGCAAAGCGAAAAAAGGTCATAGGTTCTATCTTCAGTCAGGGCACATGCTTGGGTTGCAGGATCCATGCACATATCAGTGAAGGCACATATGAAAAGAAACTAATCAATGTTTCTCTCCGTCTTGTTCTCTCTCTCTTCCCCTCTCTCTAAAAAGAAATAAAATCTCTAAACGAAAAAGAGGGTATAGAAATTACACTCATACACCCTTAAATCTGCTTTGCTGGAATTTTTCATGAGGAATCTTCAGGTTGATCTTAAAAAGGCCGCTCTAAGGCAGAAAGCCAAGGCAAGGATTTGGCCATCAAACATTGCCTGTAATACTTATAGGTGTGGTTGAGTGTCTCTCTTCTCAAGGTCTCCAAAGTATCCTGAGATTTCTACACCTGCTGAGAAGTGACATTTACTCAGATGGCAAGGCTCCTGGGAATGAGTTAAGCAAGCCACCAGGACAATATTTCCAAGTATTTTTACTGGCTTCCATAAGTCAATCTTAATTCTTTAAAGCTGTCTTGTCATACTCATGTCTCAAATATGACATTCCAGTCAAAGACTTGTTAATAAAGCCAGTTTCCAGTTGCATTCTGTTATAAGGAGAACATATTTTTATTGAACTTATGCAAATAACCACATTTTCATGAAAATAAAAATACTTAAGAGTTTCCAAATTCTGGAGGGATCAGGTAGAAAGGAAAAGCTAAGTTGTTTCAATCCTGCTTACAAGGTACAGTTTACCAAATTGCTATGTCATAAGTAGCTTAAGAGAAACAAGTTTCCTTTTATTAGGAAAACAAAAGATCAAAATATATTAGTAATTTCAATCAAAAATAGTCATAGAACTTGTGAAAAGCTATCTTTATCAGCCACAGAAGCAGTTTGTGCTTTCGAAAAGACCCTAGTCTCTTTTTTTCTTTCTTCAGGTTAGATATTGTGGCTGATAAAGATAGCTGGGCTTTGAACACCTGCCAAAAGCTGCATTTCTGCTTTCACAAACATTTGTAGGATAAGAACATTTGCTCTCAAAATTTGGGCTGTAACTTAAGTGACATCATAAATTGATCTACCTAGTTACATAATCCTTAATTTGCTTCTTTCCCTCTGGGTATATAGTTTTATTTTACCTTAGGGAAAAGGCTCAACATTTTTTTTTTTAATTATCAGGCTCTTACATTAGTTTCCCATTTGACCAAATTACTGATCAGTAAGTTACTGAATCCTTTCAGATCTCTTAGCAGGCTTTAGCTGGGCAAACAGTAAATATTTCTGGCAGTGTTAAACAGCCCATGGACTCCAGAGGACACAGGCTACTTACCTTCTAGAGTCTGTCTGTCTGTCTGACAGCCCTCATGCCCCTGCTCCCCGGTGAGACACAGCATCTCCCTCCATTAGGCAGTCAGGTAAAAGAGGTGCCATCAGTGAAAGCTGACAAAACTTTTTTTAACATAAAGGCTGTTGTAAATTCCAGTTTTAATAATCTTATCAATTCTTACATTTTCTTATTCTTTTAAGTATTCTTTTAGTGTAGCCCAAGTCAAGGCTTCACCAATGAGTTTTGGTGCCACAGTTCATGAATTCCTATATTAAGAAGTGTTGGGAATTTCTCTGTTCTATCTCCTGAGCACTCTTGAGTGAAAAGGCTTTGGGTCCCCAGCAAGGGGTCAAGCCATGAGACGAGATGCTGGCCCTGTTACCAATCTTTAACTTGATTTGACCAGCCTCACTGTTGCAATGGATCGCTGGTCAGATTTCTCACTGTAATCATTTCCTTACAGGCTTTTAGATTTCTCCACACCAGGTAAATAGAGCAGTCTTGTTTGGGGTCCTTTATTTGGGGGACCAACAAGGGGTCATTCTGGTCCATTCACCCTTTGGTAGTGCTGTACTAAAACCTTTGTTTTAACCTCAGTGATATCAGCTTTATTCCAGTTTCTTTTCTTTCTAATTGGTACAGTCCTCATGATAGCCATTGTGAGTTTGGAGTATAACATCCTTGAGGACTGGCGGTGCTGTAGTGGGACCCTGGCCACAGTTCAGCCCACATTTCTTTGTGGCCATATTTTGCAGCTTCCAACCTCGCTCTTAGGGCATAAAATTTTGGTTGTTTTGAAGTAAAATTTTGCCCTTTTTTTCTTTCATTTTTCTTTTTAAATGCAGGACAATTATATTTCCTATGTTCTGATTTTTTAAAAAAACACTATCTGAAAATATCTGAAGGCCAATGGGAAGGAGTCTGAGTTGACTTGAATATTTGTTCTACTTTTTCACATAATAGAATTCCACTTTATTAAGGGAATCATAATGGTTAGCTATAGCAATATGAGAGCTCTCTAAGGTCATTATTTCTTTCTTTTCAATTTAGAAATTTTTCCAATTAAAAGGATCCATCATCTGGCTTTGACAGTGGGGTCTATAGCGACTCAAACCAATACCGTGGACCTAAAAGGCTTTTCCAAAGGACAGTGGGAAAAGATGCAACTCTCACAAGAAAGTTTATTCCCAAAGTTAGCCTGAGTAATATGAAGGGTGTTGGGGAGGGGAGAGGCACTGTCTTTAAACACTTGTTCCCAAACACGGGGAATCACGTGCCTTCCCCCTTTCAACAGAGTCAGTTGTCAGGATTCCCTACGTTTGTATCCATAGCCTCTCTGGCTGCTCACCAGATGCATGTGCATCATTCACCTGGCAGAGATGACAGATCATGTCTGCAAGGAACAGGACAGGCACAGAAAAGCACTTGGGAGCTTGTCTTGGCCAGAGCAAGGTGCCCCTTGGTAAGGGCACCCCCTGGATGTTAGGAGCCAGAGAGAAAATACCCTGACTGGTCGTAAGGCCAAGTTCTCAGGACAAATAACAAAACAAAATGAGAGAAACCAGAGAAAAGCAAAACCATGAGCAGTCACCAAGTAACCAAGAGTTGCTTCTCCGAGAAACTAGTTTCACAAATATTCTCTTCTGCCAGTCTAAATTTAGAAGAAAGAGTTTCTCACCACTTTTGCTTCCACCAGGTCCTGTAGAAGGAGATCAGGGAGTTTACTGACATGATAAGAACCCGTACTGTCTGCTGGGCTGTGTCAGACACCCTGGGCTCTCCTCATCTGCAGCAGCCTCGTGGGGGAAATGCAGGGTTTCAGCCAGTGAGTGTATCCTGATCACAGCACCAACTGTGGGGGAGGAACACACTTCCTCTACCCTCAGTTCTTCTGGCTGGCTTGATAAACACACACGAGATAGATTAGCAAGACAAAATAACCAAATTTAATACATACATATGTATAGGAACCCCACATCCATGAGAGAGTCAGAGACCCCACATGGGTAAGAGGCATAGAGATAGAAAAGCAATATGGATATGTAAGATATTTCTGAGCTATGGATGAGATAAAGTGCCTTGGGGGCTTCAAAGGGTCATTGCAGGCTGGTAAGAAGAGCAGGTAAGTTTGTCTTGCCCTACAGACAGGTCAAAAGCTATTAACTCTGATATTATGGACAAGGCTCCTAATTCAAGTTTTTCTAGGTATTTAAGGGAGGGACAGAGGTTTCTCCTCCACCTGTAGCTAAAGTTGCCTTTAGCTTAAAACAATCTGTATACCACAGAAGCACATCTTGGGGTGCCTTGTTCTGAACCCCCACAATACAATGCTAAATACATACATATTATTTCATTTATTTCTGATGACAGCTATGTGAATTGATTGCAGTTATCCACATTCTAGGGATGGTGTAATAACTGAGGCATGGCGAAGGTAAGCATGTTCAAGGTCAATACAGTAGTTGCTACTGTAAATTGAAGGCAAAGCAAACACAGTAGGAGAAAACACTAAACCAAGTCTTTTCTTCTCAACAGGGCTACCATAAAGCCTTAGTCAAACTAAAACTAAAAAAAAATACCGTGGGTGACATTTCAGAGAGTTTGCGACAATGCGGAGGCAAGTTAAACTTTGATGAACTTCGACAAGATCTCAAAGGGTGAGAATTGCACTTTCTGAGGTCATGGAAAATTCCTTATGTAAAGATAAATTCTTGATGACATGAGTATTTCTGGCCCAAGTACTCACAGAAATACCTTTCTTCAGCTGTGGGTATCTTTCTGAAACAATACTGTAAGAGGAGGACTGTCCCCAATTCAGCAATTTCTCCTTTCCTTCTGCGTTTTGATGTCTCTGTGTTCAGGTTGGACCATGTTAGTGAACGAGCTCATCTGTAACCTCTCCATAATTTCAGGAAGGGCCATACTGATGCAGAGATCGAGGCAATATTCACAAAATATGACAGAGATGGAGACCAAGAACTGACTGAACATGAACATCAACAGATGAGAGATGACTTGGAAAAAGAGAGGGTGGGTTTAGTTCGGCACCCACAATGTTGCAGACATCATACTAAATAGTGGGTTGTTGAGAGTCCCTCATCCTCATTCTCACCCCCTCTCTCCCTCCCTCCTTTCTCACTCTTGCTCTCTCTCATCAGTTTATGTATGAGTACCCTGCTTATTCCAACAAGGATCTGTATCACAATAGCATATAAAAATGCAATAAGGTAGCATAAATCAAAATGAAGAATGAAGCAAAACAAAACAGCAGTAAAATATAAAACTACACTATAACTGAAGGTAAAAATGGGCATAAAAGCCATATGCCTATTAAGGTTGGACTACAGATTTGGCCCAAAGCTTTCTAGTAATGAACTTGAAAAGAGAAACCTGAATAGTTACATATTTTACAATGTCTTTGAGAGTGGAGGAAAAAAAGATTTCTTAGGAGATATAAAATTAGTTACTCTTGAAATTAACATTTAACATAAAATAGCTACCTTCCATTTGAATATTTATTACACTATTAAAAGTAAACTTACATGGGCTTTTATCATCAGAAAATAATAGGTAAGAACTTTAATATTAACTTTAAAACTAAATAGTTGAACAAATAAAAATTACTTGGTAATTGAGGTACAGTGAATAAAGATGCATGTTATATAGAAAAGTCATTTTCCTATGAGGAGCTAGTATAGAACAGTGATTCTAAATGCTGCTCCACAGAACAATACTATTAGGTGAAAAACTTCACCAGTCATAGTGAAATGTGAACAAGTAGACAGTAAGATTTTCACAAGGCTGTATTTAGTCAAAATTCTTATTCTGAGACTACACCCTTTCTTTGTAGCTATTAAGTATGTTGGCTTGTATGAAATGGTGTATAGTTCTTTCTTTACCTTTTCTTTGCCTTGGGTTTTTAATGTTCTTTCTTGTCCAAATAATACATTAGTAACTTCTTTCTGGTAATTAAAAACTGGTTTGAAAATTTGCCAATTCATGAAATTAAAAAGTGTGGGAATCACGGTCTGAGGCTAACCACAAAGAAATCTGAGGTGAACGGCACACACCCATTTCTCATTGGCCCAAGTCCTCAGTGGAGCTCCAGTGGGGCCTGGGTGTCTCTGCTCAGTGTCCCATTTTCTTCAGGAGGACCTGGACTTGGATCACAGCTCTTTACCGCGTCCCATGAGCAGCCGAAGTTTCCCACGAAGCCTGGATGACTCTGAGGAGGATGATGATGAAGACAGCGGTCATAGCTCCAGAAGGAGGGGAAGCATCTCCAGTGGGGTTTCTTATGAAGAGTTTCAAGTGTAAGTATAAAGGAATTGCTATACAACTTAGTTTATACCTATCTCCTTTGTCCTGTTATCAGTACTTTTTGACATTTCTATATGTAATAGGTCCAACAATACAATTATGTACTTACTGTCTTTTTTTAGGTCTATAGTTGTGAATACATGAAACAGTTTATTCTTAATTACTTATTAATTATTGTATTGTTTTGCATTCAATTATTTATGTATTTTTTTGTTATTCAAATACAGTTGTCTCCATTTTCCTCCCACCACTCCCCCACAACCCAGCCATCCCCACCTGCCACCCTTGATCCTACCCCCCTTTGTCCATGTGTCCTATGTACATGTTCCTTGACAAACACTCCCCCACACCCCCCAGTATTCCCTCCTACCTCCCCTCTGGTCACTGTCAGTTTGTTCTCAATTTCATTGTCTCTGGTTATATTTTCCTTGCTTGTTTGTTTTGTTGATTAGATTGTACTTATAGGTGAGATCATATGGTATTTGTCTTATACTATTGCTTTTTAAATCCGTTAAAAGAAAAAAGGAGAAATACATGTTAATAGTGTCTTCTATAGTTACATAATTACCTTTACCAGTGCTCTTTTTTTAATGTGAATTTTAATTGCAATACTCTGGGATCACTTTTTATAAGTGATACAGAACTTCCTTTAGTATCACTTATAAAGCATGAATTCTTTCTGTTTTTTTTGATCTCAGAATACTTTTATTTTACCTTTATTTCTTTCTGATCTCTATTGTTTCAGATGAGAAGGCAGCTGTTAATGTTACTCAGGTTCATTTGTATAGGACAAGTTATTTTTCTTTTGTTGCTTTCAGGGTTTTGTCTTTGTCTTTATCTTTCAGTATTTTTACTATGATGTGTCTGAGTGTGGATCTCTTTGCAACTGTCCCACCTGATGTTTGTTAAGCTTCTTGGATGTGTAATATTTTTATAAAATTTAGTAAGTTTTCAATCATTATGTCTTCAGATATTTTGCTGCTCCTTTCTTACTCCCCTTTTCTTCTGGGACTCCAATTTACGTGTATCTTTTGGTGCTTAATGGTATCCCACATTTCTCTTAGGTTCTGTTTATTTTCCTTCATTATTTTTTCTCACTGTTCCTCATATTGCAGAGTTTCTATTGATCTATGTTCAAGTTCACAGATTCTTTCTTCTGCCAGCTCAGATCTACTATTGAGACCCTCTAGTGAATTATTTTTCATTTCAGGGGTTGTACTTTTCAACTCCAGAATTTTTATTGGTTCTTTGTAATAATCTCCCTCTCTTTATTGATATTCTCTATTTGATAAGACAGTGACATTGTACTGTTCTTTATTTCTTTGAGAATGATTTTCTTGACTTTTAAAATATAATAGCTACTATGAACTCTTTGTCTGTTAAACCCATCTGAGCCCTCACAAAGACAGTTTCTGTTGCCTGCTTCTTTCCCCTGTGTATGGTCACAGTTTCATGTTTTTTCTATCTCATAATTTTTTATTAAAAACTAAATATATTAAATAACATTATAGCAATTCCAGATACTAATTTCTCTTCCCCCAGGACGTGCTGTTGCTGTGGTTAACACGTTTGTCTTTCAGTGAAGTCCATTTTCTCTGCATTGGGAAGCCTCTGAGGCTGCTTCTCAGCCAGCGCAGCCGCGACCGTGCACACCAGTATCCTGGGAAGACAAGAGTCTCATTGTCTTCTCCATCTCACTGTTGAGCCTCTGCCTCTGTCGATACCAGTTCCACCTCTTGGGTTTTACTTTACTCATTGTTGGCTAATTTGTCTATTGATTTCAGTAATGCCTTGGGATATAAATTGCTCTACAGTCTGATCCAATTAATTTTAGGCCCCATTGTGGGATAGTTTTTGAGGTCAATCTTCAACTGTCTTTTTAGCTGCTGTTTCCTTCTCTGGTTCTCTCTGGGAAACTAGCTGGTAAATAGTTTCACTTGTTGATCTCATGGAGCAACCAGCCTCTCCTTGACTGCTTATCACCACCATCTGTATTGTTTTTAAGAGCACTCTTGGGCTTGAATTTTCCCATACTTTCTTCCAAATAAACCCAGTTCACTTGGGGGAAACTTTGGAATTCTCTGTCTTGTGGTCTGACCCTGGGCAAACCTCTGTACCACTGCTCCAGGTGAGGAGTGACACCCTGCTTACTAAATAAGGCAATAGGCTGGATGGCAGCCCTTAGTGTTTTCAGCTTACCTCTTCTGGCATGGAAATTCCATCCTGTGATTGGAAGTTGAATGTGGGAAAAGAATCTCATACTTAGCCACTCTTGCCTGGATTAGAGCCTCTGAAGTATGGATTTGGGACGGGAGCAATGGGATGAGAAATGCTGGCTGGCTGCCTCCTTCCTGGGAGCCACTGTAGCTCTCCACCGGGATCTCGGGAGGAAGAGCCCAGCGTCCTTTGATCCACCGACCCAGAGTGGTTGCTTCTGTCACACTGAGCTGGGGGTGAATGAGATGGAGCAGAGATGCCTCAAATGTCACAGACTGTCACTCTTCTTACTGAAATTTAGTGGGTTGTCATAAATAAATGCTTCTTTATTTGCTCTATGCCTTTAAGAAAATTTTCAGAAATTAAAAAAAATACTCAACAGTTAAAATTGAGTATTAAATAATATTCAACAGTTAAAGTTGTTTCACTAGGGAGAGAGCTTGCAGAGTCCTCAGGCCACCATTTCAGAAGTTGCCTCCTCCTTATTTTTTAATGATTTATATATTTATTTATAGATTTTATGTATTCAAAATAATGGGATCATAAGTGAATATACTTTTTTCTATCTCCTTTACTTAGTTAACATACTGTGAACATCACTCTATTTTATTAAATATTTATGCATAATATAATTTCTGATGTCTCCTTACGTCTTCTCTTCTGTATATAATCTCCTATTATTTAATGTAATCATTTTGATGATCCACTATTAATAAGCCAAAATTCAGACATATGCTTAATTATTTTCTTTAGAAATCTTTCAAAAAAGGAATATCTGAATAAAAAGTAGGCATACAGTTTTGAGACTTTGGATGCAATGTCGACTTGTAGAAAATTTGTGCCACTTAACACTCTCATCAGCAATGTAGGATAGTTTAATCTCTAAAGTTTGCAGCTACTTGCTTAATGTTTCAGATTATCATGTTGTTTAAGAAATAAATCTTAACCCTTCTATTTGAAAAGCCAACTGGGCTGAAAAGACACCAACGCAAGGTGATTTTGCCCCTCCCAACTGTGGTTTTCTGCAGCCTAGTGAGACGAGTGGACCGAATGGAGCACTCCATTGGCAGCATTGTGTCCAAGATTGACGCCGTGATCGTGAAGCTGGAGATCATGGAGAGGGCCAAACTGAAGAGAAGGGAAGTGCTGGGAAGACTGCTGGATGGAGTGGCCGAGGTGAGTGGTCTTCTGCCACAGAAACACTCTGCTGGGTAAAACATTAGGGTAGTATGATTTGTAACCCTTTTAATCACAGAGGTTTCTCTGTCTCCATAACTGCAGATCAATGAATATCAAGTGATAATCTAGAGGTGTTACTTTCTTAATATTCCACATACTGAGGACCCTGCCTTTACTTAAAATTAAGCAAAGAAATTACTGTAGTAACTGAGAATTATTAATATGCTTTAAATTTCCAGACTTACCTAATTATAAACAGATTATCTGACCACCAAATTTCCTAAGGCAATTTCTAAGTATGAGAATATGCATCAGTCTAACTCTTAACTTCCTGGTGCCTTTTTCCTTTGTTAGGATGAAAGACTGGGTCGTGACAGTGAAATCCACAGGGAACAGATGGAACGGCTAGTGCGTGAAGAGTTGGAACGCTGGGAATCCGATGATGCAGCTTCCCAAATAAGTCACAGTTTAGGCACCCCGATGGGGTTAAATGGTCAGCCTCGCCCCAGAAGCTCCCGCCCTTCTTCCTCTCAGTCTGCGGAAGGAGTGGCAGGCACAGATGGAAATGGAAGTGCTAGTATGCACGGGTAGGACGTGTTGGTAAACGTGTTCTAATAGGTGAGAAGGTGGCTGTCTGAATTGCCATCGCAAGGATACTACAGTAAGTCCTCATTGATCGTTATCGATAGGTTCTTGGGACTCTGCCAAAATGCAGTATAATGAAGCCAGTTTTACCACAGGCTAATTGACATAAGCAAGAGTTATGTTCCTAAAGCATTATTATTAATAATAAAATTATTTTTTCCCAGGATCTGTTGTATTTACAAGTATATGCCCTGACTACCATATAATGTTGGTCTTTGTGACCAATCATTAATTCTTCTGCACTTTAATTTATTTTAGATGAACCTTCCCCATGGCTTAAAGACAATTTTTTTACTCATATAAGTAATTAGGTGTAAATATTGAGTACATAAAAAAATCTCTGTAAAGTCTAAGAAGTGGTATGCTCACTTGGTACCATGACCGAGTCTTCTCAGTTGACAATGAAGTCGCCTTTTGAGCTAGAAAAAAACTGTTTAAAGGTTTCTGAGTTTTATTTTCAATCACAAAGTCAGTATTGTCATTTTAGCCCAGTGTGTGAAGACAAAATAGGGGAATTCCTTCCCACTCAGGCTTGAGCTTACTATATAGTGTTCTGTTGTTGTTGTTGTTGAAGAAAGGAGCCCATTATTTCAACTACCTTCCTGGGGTAAACTTTTCCAAAAGACAAGCTGGAAAAGAACTCCAAATCATAGAACGAGTACGTAGTCATAATGCTAAGATTTGTATGAATGGTTAAGGTAAATGTCGAATTGTGTGGGGTGGTTGTTATTTTATCATATCTAATGTCTGTGGGAATTATTGTTTTACTTAACTTTTACACTATTTTTCTCTCATTTGAAATGAGTGGTGTTAAACCACCCAAGATCAGTTATGGGTTAAAAATGTCACCTGTAACTTCAACACAAGAGAATTGGAATGAGCCTTATCACTAAATTTGACTGTTTCTAATAATTAGTTTAGTAAAAAATTTACTCTGTATACCCTTTTCCATGTGGCTCAACCTATTCACAACTGAATATAATGTTGTAACTAATCCAGGAAGGGCCATTTACTAAATTTTTCAGTATGTACTGAAATTTTTAGGAAATGTGTTCTTTGTAAACAAAAATTTAAGGCAGTTTTAAAATTCATATAAAAATATTATAAAACTAAAGTTTGAGTTTTATACTGTTTTAAAAATACAGAACTCATACTCTTGACCTTGCATCTCAGACCTAGACTTATACTCTAGACAGAGTTGGATTTTATGAAAAGGAGTTTTGGTATTGACAGTCCATCCATTATCAGAAGGTATCAGCCTGCATTTGGGTTTGCAGCAATTTTCCTTTTCTGGTTTTTCATTTAGCATCTCACCAAATTTATGGGGAAGAAATTGATTTCTCAATAAAAAATGAAAATCTTATTTTTCAAAGTGTTGAGTAGACCACCTAGTGAGAGCTCAGGGGACAAGCAGGAAAGAACCTAGTGCTGGTGAATAGCTCACTGGGAGAACAAGAGAGGCCTATTTTTTAACTCTGTATTTTAATTTCCTGTGTTGATCATTTAATTGGTAGAATATGTCAGTCAAATCTTCACTGAAAACGTGAGCAAACAAACCTCTCTATGCTGGCTGCTTCAGGACTAATACACATTGGTTTTCTTCAACAGTTATTTCCTGTGGTTTCATATCCATCTTTACGTTATTTCAATATGCTACACAATGTACTTTATTACTAGGTACTAACTAAAGTTTGGGCTCCAGGGATAGTGAGTGTATGTATTAAATATTTATGTCTGTGTATCCTGTTGTTACATGCAAACAAACTTCAGTGTGAAGTGCAGCTATTATGTGGCATCCATGTGCATTGACGATGTGCCATAGATCACTTATGGTCACTAGAAAATATTTTATGATACTTCTTGTTATGCTGTTTTTCACTTCTCCTGTAAAACTATAATTTACATTTTCTTTTCTTCTTTAGTCATGGAGAATTTCCTCCTCCATCCTCCCCTATCATCTTCTCTCTCATGTTAATATTATTAAGAAGATGTTACATATGCAGGTCTCTATTAACAATAGAGAATTTCATTAATGTGTAATTCTGAGCACTTTACTGCCTAATAAAAAATTTGATGCAAAAACAGTTGTTAAGAATTGTCTGTTTAAAAACAGAGACATTTGGGTAATTTACCTTCTATCATGAGGCTAATACTGTAATAAAGACTTAGATTTTGAAAAAGTCTTTTTTTGTGTCCCAAAGCAACATGACTGATGTATTACTTTTTCAATGTGTATCTCTAGTAAATTATTCTGATGGTTGTGTAGTACATCCTAGTGTGCAGCAGCCACGATTTACTTTTACATTGTTATAGTTAGCTGTTGGCTGTACTATTTCTTCTTCAGAGTCCTTGTACATAATTCCCTTGTTGACATTTCATGATTCCTCCGTGGGTAAATCACAGGAGTCAAGAGCCAAGCCCCGGGCATACAGATATTTCATTTTACCCAGAACTGTCAGGCCACCCTATAGAATGGTGGCACCACTCTGCCATTTCACTGTGTGAGTGAGTGCACTACTTTATCCATTCCCTCACTAGTTTGGGTGCCATTCAGCTCCCTAATGTTTATAATTGTAATGCTTTTAAAGTGAGGTCTCATTTTCTTTTGCCTTTATCTGATTCCTAGTAAGTTGAGACATCCTGTCATAGATTCAACATTTGGATTTCCTTTTTTGTACATTTTCTATTAAACCCATTAAAACCTTCTAATTTAATCTGATGGGAAACAAGTATGTTTTTGTTCACTACCTATTTTTTACTGGGTCAAGGTCTTTTTGTTGATTTGCAAAATTTCTTCCTATGGTTTAAGTATCAGTTTTGGACTCCATTGATAATCTCTCATCCCACTGATAACTTGGTCAGTGTTGCTTAGTTTTTTTATACAGCAAAATCAATCAGTGTATTCATTTTGCTTTTCTGTGTTTGGGACTGTTCTACAGACCATTTTAGGATCACAGGCTTTTATTTATGAAATTTTCAGTCTTCTTTTTTTGGGTATTTATTCTTACATGTTTATTTTTTTAATATATTTTATTGATTATGCTGTTACAGTTGTCCCATTTTCCCCTCTTCACTCCCCTCCAACCCCTCCCACTGACATTCCCCCCCTTTAGTTCATGTCCATGTGTCATAAGTTCTTTAGCTTCCATATTTCCCATACTATTCTCGTCCTCCCCCTGTCTATTTTCTACCTACCATCTATGTTACTTATTCTCTATACCTTCCCTCGCCTTCTCCTCCCACTCCTCTGTTGCCAATCCTCCATGTGATCTCCATTTCTGTAATCCTGTTCTTGTTCTAGTTGTTTGCTTTTGTTTTAGATGTGGTTGTTAATAACTGTGAGTTTGCTGTCTTTTTACTATTCATATTTTTATCTTCTTTTTCTCAGATAAGTCCCTTTAACATTTCATATAATAAGAGTTTGATGATGATGAACTCCTTTAACTTGACCTTATCTGAGAAGCACTTTATCTGCTCTTCCATTCTAAATGAAAGCTTTGCTGGATAGAGCAATCTTAGATGTAGGTCTTTGGATTTCATGACTTGGAATACTTCTTTCCAGCCCTTTCTTGCCTGTAAGGTCTCTTTTGAAAAATCAGTTGACAGTCTGATGGGAACTCCCTTGTAGGTGACTGTCCCTTTATCTCTTCCTTCTTCTAGGATTCTCTCCTTCATTTTAATCTTGGCTAATGTGATGATGATGTGCCTTGGTGTGTTCCTTCTTCGGTCCAACTCCTTTGGGACTCTGAGCTTCCTGGACTTCCTGGAAGTCTATTTCCTTTGCTAGATTGGGGAAGTTTACCTTTATTATTTGTTCAAAAAAGTTTTCCACTTGTTGCTCTTCCTCTTCCCCTCCTGGTACCCCTATAATTCAGATCTTGGAACATTTAAAGATGTTTTGGAGGTTCCTAAGCCTCTCCTCATTTTTTTTGAATTCTTGCTTCTTTACTCTTTTCTGTTTGGCCATTATTTGCTTTCTTCTGGTCCACTCCATTGATTTGAGTCTGAGTTTTCTTTCCATCACTACTGATTCCCTGTGCATTTTCCTTCATTTCACTTAGTTAGCCTTCATTTTTTCACATAATTTGCAACCAAAATCAACCAGTTCTGTGAGCATCCTGATCACCAGTGTTTTGAACTGTGCATCTGATAGGTTGGCTATCTCTTGGTCGCTTAGATGTATTGGCTCTGGGGCTTTGATCTGTTCTTTTGTTTGAGGCATAATTTTTTGGTCTGTTTGTGCCTGTTACGTATGAGGGGTAGAGCCTTAGATGTTCACCAGGACGGGTCAACCAAAGTGACTGGGTTGTGACACTGTATGTGGGGGTGGGGTGAGAGAGGGAGCAATGATGCTTGCTCTCCTCTCTCTTGGATTTTGCTCCCCTCTGCCACTTCCCACCACCAAAGTGGGCCCCTCTAGTGCTGGTTCCCAGATGGGTGGGCTTGTGTACATTCTAGGACCCTGTGGGTCTCTTCAATGAACTCTCCTGTGAGGCTGGGAGCTTCTCCCAGCACCTCAACTCCCGAAAGGGGGGGTTTTCTAATTGGTGGTTTGGGGCTTTATTTCCAGTCACTGGGGCCCTGGGTTGCACATTCTGGGTTGCCCTTTTTTTTTCCTGGTTTATCTGCGTGCAAATGTGTGTCTGCGTTTAGCAAAATGCCATGCATGTCTTACTGGATTTTCTCGTTTCCCCCTGCACCCAGTTCTGCTAACCACTGCCTCTTCCTGCTGGAACTCCTCTCTGAAGGTCGTGGACTCTGCCCCTTTTACTGGTCTGGATGAATGGTTCATTGTTGTCAGATTTCAATACAGTTCAATTTTCTGTCTGTTCTGGTTGTGTTTTTGTTTCTAAATCTTTGTTTTCCTTAAATTTGGTTGTGCGAGGAGGTACAGTGTTTCCACCTACGCCTCCATCTTGGCTAAAACTCTTTTTTTGAATTTTTATTTCTTCATTCTGTTCCAGTTGAATGTTTATTTCTTCCTTTTGTTCCAAATTATTGAGTTCTGGTTTCCTTCCCTTCACTGGTAGCTCCCTGTATATTTTTCTTTATTTCACCTTACACAGCTTTCACTTTTCCCTTTATTTTGTGTCTGTACTCAATCATTTTTGTGAGTATCTTGATTACCATTGTTTTGAACTCAGCTTCTGATAGATTGGCTATCTCCTTTTCACTTAGTTTTTTTTTTTTTTTTTGAGCTTTAATGTGTTCTTTTATTTGGGCCATATTCCTTTGTCTTGGTGTACCGTTATCTTGCATGAGGTGGAGCCTTAGGTGTTTACCAGGGCAGGGAAACTCATGTTGCTGCATTTTGGCTCTGCATGTGGGGGAGGGGTTAGAGAGGGAACAATGCCACTCTCTCAATTCACATCCTGCTTTCACTTACTTCTCCCACTTCCCACAAGTGAATTGCACCCTACCAGATACTGCTGTGATGCTGATTCCCTAGTGGATGGACTTGTATCTGTCCTAGGACCCTGTGGACCCCTCAAACAGTCTCCAGTGAAACTGGCAGTTTCTCCAACCACCACAACCCCCACAGGTTTTTATAGACAGAGGCTTTGATACTTATTTCCCCAGAGCTGGAACTCTGGATTGTGCAAGCTATCTTGCCCACCTGTTGTTCCTCCTAGTTTATCCACATGCAAATGTGGGACCACCCAGTCTGCCAGCCGCTGCCTCGGTGACCTGGTCTTCCAGCTGCCACCTTGATGCACATCTTGTCCACTTTAGCTTCCTGTCTCCTGCTCTTCCTACTGGTCTGTATGAATGTTTCTTCTTTAACTCCTTGGTTGTTTGGACTTTCTTACAGTTTGATTTTCTGGCAGTCTGCTTTCTTTTTTTTTAAATTGGTTGTTATCCTTCTTTTGGTTATGTAAGGAAGAAAAGCATATCCAACTATACCTTCATCTTGGCCAGAAATCAATATGTGTCTGTTTTTTTAAACATAGTAGTTGTTACACTGATTTCTGGATGTTCCTGCAGAACAATTTTCATTATTACAACTTTGTATGTCCTCGTATGCGGTAAGTTTTTCATACGTGCTCTCCTCTCAGCCAATCCCCCCCCCTTTTTTTTTCGCCAAAATTGACTAAGCTATTTTTGTGAACCTTTAATTTTTCATATAAATGTGTTAGAATAAGTTTGATAGGTTCCTGCAGGTGAGGGGTAGAGAAAAAAGTTCCACTGAAATTTTATTGGCATTCCATTGAGTTTATTGATTAATTTGAGGAAAACTGACATTTTATGATATCAAAAAATATTCAGAACTTCCTTCATGTCTTTTAAATGTTTCTTAAAATTTCTAAAGACCTTACATATTCTTCAATGTGGTTTTATTGCTATCATGAACAGAATCTTGTCTTCCATTCTATTTTCTAGTTGGTTTTTGCTGATATAGAGAAAAAAAGTACTTTTTTTATTCTCACTTGAGGACTTTTTTTTACTTTTAGAAAGCGTGGAAAGGAGAGAGAGACAGAGAGAGAAACATTGATGTGAGAGGGAAAATATTGATTGGTTGCCTCACATATGAGCCCTGATCAGATACTGAATCCACAACATAGGTACTTGACCAGGAATCAAACAAGCAACATTTTGGAGTATGAGATGACACTCCAGCCAGCTGAGCCACACTGACCAGGGCACTGATTTTTTATAAATTAATTTTATATACCACATTTGTTGAACTTCTTTACTAGCTCTAGATTCTGTATTGATTCTTTGGGGTTTCTGTGTAGAAGAGCTGCTCGTTTTTAAATAAGGACATTATCATTTTGGAGAGTAGCAGTAATAATAGACATGCTTGTCTTGTTTCTTGTCTTAATGGGAATATGTTTTATTTTGAGTTCCCTTAAAAGAAAAGCCAAGGACTTGGGTTCAGGTAATTTACTCGGGAGGTGATGATACTAGGAAGCTGGAGTAGGAAACAGAGAGCCAGGAAAGGAGGAAATGCCAGTATACAGGTGTGTTACCAAAGATGCCCCTGTAGGCAACCAGAGCTCAGTTCTACCTGTGACAATGCTATTAAATGCCTTCCATAATCCATTGTCTGAAGAACATAAGGCTGGGGCATTTGCCCATTGGCCCCAATCCCTAGTGGTTC